ATACTTCAAGTGTAAGTCTTATATAGAGAAAACGCTGTATGAAATACTCAATTTTAGAACTTCTAGGAAAATGCTTGTAACTTTCTGATGCAAGGTCATATAGAGTTGTATGAGGTCTTATTTTGATCAGAAACCTTTGCTCTACAAATCTGTATGTTCAGAAAAATTTTAGTTGCATAAGTATTCAGCAAAAACTAAAAGTATTTAAGTCGAACGAACATCTTCATTGAGAAAAATATCACTACTTTATTCTAAAAAAAAGCACACTGCACCACTCCTGATCATTGTACGGAGTGCCGAAGTGTGGTGGAGTGTGATTTACTCTGCTTATCCACTAGAAAAAGAATCCTGCGTTTCGTGTGTTGAAAATGCATGTTTTTAAGTTTTCTACGCAAAATCACGAAGAGAAAATTTTTGAGATATTTTAGACGTAGAAACGCGCAAGATTGTTTCGTTTTTGCGAGAGATCCTCAGTTTTTTTAGCGAATCCTTCATATTTGTATAATAAATCTGTTCAGATCGAGAAATTAGTCGCATACATTTCATTAACATACATCGCATTTTATTTTAATGGTAACCCTGGTGCTCAACAGCTACGTCCATCAATAAATATCAAGTAATATTATGTGACCGGTACGGTTAAACATTGGTGTCGTGATGAATTTAATCATGGCACTGATTTCACTATTTATATGCCATATCAGGAACAAACGCAGCGATAACAGTTAATCGAGAATGTTCGAAATGTTCATTTCATTGGAAAAGAAAGAAAGATAGAAAGAAGATTGATTTAACAGCAGCGATGAACATACTTGAATCTTTTTATTTTTTATTCAAGAAAGTCGACGTTTCGCCTCTTTTAGAGTCATTGTCAAGACGAAGTTAGAAATTTGCACAAAATGAAACAAAGAGAGAACTGTAGGCAAAATATAACATTTGAGTGAACTATATCGTTGACAGAAAAATGACAAGTCAGACCACTATTGAATAGTCCGTTATTTATCAGAACGTTGTGGTAAATTAGATCACCGGCCCCCACAGCCTATTAATTATTGGTGCCTTTTATCTTTATCATTGGTTTCGACACCTTCAGTCCCTCAGGATAAATAACGAGGGGAACCGATGCGACTGTTTGTTCAGAGTTGGTTGATGATGTTGGATGGCTAGAGATTCACGAATTAGCAGGCGATAAGGACGAGGATCTTAAGCTGAAATTCGCCATTCTCTTCAGTTGATGTTATGTCCTTGTTCTTTCGTGTGATAGTGTAGAGCTGATCTGATACTGTCATACTGAGCGTCTCCTTCTTCAACTGATGGGTAGTGATAGTAGTTAGTAACATCATTCCGTTTGCACTTCGAACGCCGTAAGGCTGTTGCTGATGCAGTTTTAGTCGATTGGAGCGTGAAGGAAGAAGGAAGACGAGCTTCTGACTGTAGCTCAGATGCTCCGTGTTCTCGATGTCTACTGATAGCTTGACGAATTATTTTTCCAGTATAACTGGCGTTACAGTCTTCACATTTCACTGCATAAACAATATGAGACTGTAAATCCTTAGGGACAGGCTCTTTTCGAGTAAAGAAAGTTTGTACGGCAGACGGCGGTTGAGAAATTGGGTGTAAATATATTTGTAGACGTATTTTGGCTGAAATGTTGTTGAGTTGTTTGTTGACGAGTACCGTTGTAGGCCGTCCGACGTACCGAATATCAACGAGCAGAACTTCTTTTTCGATAGATTGTTGAAATGTTTTAGTAGTTATACATCTTAAGAAAAGATAATCAGCGTGAAAAAATCCTCACTTGATCACGTTCGTTCAAATAGCCATATGGACATAATTAAATATAAGATCCGCGATCAGCTTCACAGTTGTCCTCTAAATGTATGGCATTGAAAATCGTTTCAATCACCAAGGACGGTAATTTTTGTTAGACGCTATAGCATAGTATTTTACCTGTCAAGATGGTTAATCAAATTAAAAAAAGATATTCGCAGCTATTTATTAACTCTTGTCATGATGTCCAGCCATTAATATGGGCATAGCGCACGGTATAGCGTATTCGCTGCTCCCTAGAGTCATACGCATGAAGCGTTTGCCATTATGTCCCTTGAGCACGGTTGCCATGTGTTTATTGAAAAGCCCCTCGCTGATACGGTAGAAGGTGCCAGGCGAGTAGTGGCAAGTGCAAAAAAGGCTGGAAAGAAGCTGGTAGTAGGCTACATCCTGCGCCATCATCCCTCCTGGAAAAAATTCGTAGAACTGACTCAGGGATTAGGCAAGCCGCTAGTGATGCGAATGAATTTGAATCAGCAAAGTCACAGAAACATGTGGATCGTCCACCAAAATTTAATGAAAAGTCTCAGTCCAATTGTCGATTGCGGAGTGCATTACATAGACGTGATGTGTCAAATGGCGCGTTCAAAACCTGTTCAAGTTAATGCGAATGAGGTGCGGTTAACCGATGAGATACCACCACACAATTATGAACTACGGTCAGTTGCAAATTCGATTTGAAGATGGGTCGGTAGGCTGGTAGGCTCTATACAAGAAAGTCAGTTTTAGACTTTATAGCAACAAAAATGAAATACTTGCCTCTGACCAATCGATAATATTAATCATCAATCTTATAGACCTGATTTAAATACAATTCAAGGAAATATTGTTTATGGAGAAGTAGGATCTTTTCAACGCGATATTTTAGAAGAAGAATTTAATAATAATAAAATTTTCGGTAAACGATATGAAAATAGAAAAAAATGTTTAATTGTTGATGAATTTGATAATATGTGTTTAGATCGAGCTCGACGTATTCTTTATCTTTCTCATGAAATTCAAAGTTTAAAATGGCTTGAAACATTATTTATTAACATTTGAACCTTGGTACTTAAAACAGAGATTAATAATTCTGATGATATTTCTGCGCATATAGATTTTATAAAACAACATGTTCAAAATAAGAATATTTTTGTTTGATTATCATATGTATATTTACTAGCATGAATGAATAACGGATATGTTGTTGACCACATGACAATTGATTCAATTATATTTAACAACAATGCCAAAAGAAACAATAACGATTGTTTTGTTGTCAACATATCAAGCATTGTGTGCTTCATTTCCATGTGATGTCTCATGTTTAACATCTTCACTTTATATATGGGCCAACAATGAGTATAAAAGAAGAAGAAAGAATAACAATGGATATCTCTCACATGACGTCACTTTTTTCGAATGCTTCGTATTTGATATCACTATATACTGTGACGCAGAAAGCTAGTCATGGTTTGTAATAAAAGTGTTTCATATCATGATTGAAACTCAAGAGGGAACCCGCGTTACTGACGACCACGTCAGCCGAGACAGAATTTTGTTTTCTTGCTCAATAGTCTAGTTCGAATTTATTAATTTACAGAGCCATGGTACTATTTGAAATAAAAAAACTAGAAAGGTAGCATAAAAAATGAGAAAAATCAAAGTCGTTCATTCAATAGAACTATAAGCCTGCTGTTTATGAAAATAATACTTTCTATACTCTTGATATCATCACTCAGAAACAATTGCAGATATGAAAACTTAAGAAGTATGTGTGTATCTGTGTCCTTGAAAGGACACAAATACGGCTTTTCTTAAGGTAACGCTGTGGCATTTTCGACACAATAGTTTGAGGTTTTCTCGAAAACTGTAAGACCTAGAAAGTTCGATTTTGCGCCATTCGACGCGGCTCTTCTTACTCTACTTGTAGTATAAAAACGAAGATTTTTGGTTAAAGACTCGAGCTTCCAGAAAACCTTTTTAGACCAGTAACGCTGTGACATAAAAAAGACCCTAAATTCTAACTGCTCCTCTTAAAGTGCAAATTTCTGTAAATTCAGAAGAGCTAATAAAAAGTGTCTCGAGCAAAGCTTATAGAGGAGCTAACGAGGTTTTTATTGCTAAAAAGAGTTGCTTCAGAACCCTTTTTTAGTTTATAAAACTCAATTTACTAACGTAACGCTGTGACACACTTCTTTTTCTCTTACATATTCTGCACTAACAACACCAGTTTTATACGATAGAAATGTATTATAGTGTTGATAATGATCATTGTAAAATCGATGGTTTTATTTCATCTGAGCTAAGTCCCCTAAATAAAGAACCGGTAAACCTTATGGGTCTTGGATTTGTTTTAAAATGGAATTGTATCTGATATAAAAAAAAGCTGCATTCTCCTTTGGAAATTAATTAAAATATTCATAAAGTTTATTCTTTCTGACGAAAAGGAATCAGACAACTATTACTTAGGAAAGTGTATGATTCATTGTTATCATTCGATTTTGTTTTACAATTTTACAACAGTGAATATGTGTGTAACTAAAACTTTAGTAAACTCTTTATTTTTATTAACTACTAGCTGAAGTACCCGACGTTGCTCGGGAAAATTTGATATTACATACTTGACATATTAGAAAAAGACATCGTTACGGTCTCCTATCAGTTATCGGACTTCGATATCGCAAAATGCGTTCGGATCACTTTCCCTTTTGAATTTTTTCTTTTCGTCATTTTAAACTTTTTAAAAATATTTTTATCCTTTTCGATGTTCTTTTTGTTTGTTAGCTTCTTTTATTAAAAAATGACTGTGTCCAATCAAACTTAATTTTTATTCCAAAGTTGTTTGATACACAATGGTCCTGGTTTTCTCACCAGGAGCAAAACTATACAAATTCTTCCGAGTTCCGACGCTTGAACACGCCACGTAATGTTGACCATGAGAAAAGCAAGGAGTTCCTCACCCCCACCCACCCTCACCGACCCCGTCTCGACCTTCCTCTGGACCTAAGGGTATGCCATAGAAAGTTTGGTGACGCTAGCTCTTACAGGGACCAAATGCATAAAGAACAGACAAACATTTTTCTTTATATATATAGATTAGTGGATCGAAT